GTAATTATTAACTCAAGTGACAAAAGCTGCACGAGAAAAGTGGCCAGTAAAATGATAAAGTGATTGATTAAGACATTTGATAGGAGAATATTTTGGTACATAATCCCAGACTCAGTTATGTATACACATCTATTCCTTGTTCCCATGTGTTTGATGATACATGAAAGTAGGCCGCAATTTCTTCCTGAGGTAGAGAAAAAAGGGGATCTTCTATTTTTGCATGTTTAACCTATGAGACAGGTGTTCTTTTTACTGCCTTTTGCTATGATTGCCTGGAATCAACACTCTCAAGCTACACAAAAATGCTGCTACTCTTACCTGAATAATTACAACTAAACAATGTTTGTTTATAACAGAAAGCTTCTACCATTACCAAAAGAAGTAAGGGATATGTTTAGAGAAGGTAGGAAAATAAAGAATTTTTCATATCTACAAATACATTGCATGGCATCAATGTTTTTTTTTAATCCGGACAGGCTAGTACCAGGACATGTTGACCTAAATAAACAAAGACCCCCTACAAATTAGTTTTCATAAAGGGTCTTGGTTTTCGTAGGAGGTCTTTGTTTTCATAACTACTGAGATTGGTGTGAGGTGGAAGTTCTAAATAATCAGATGAATAAACAAGCCCACAAACCTGGAGCTCCTTATAATTTTGACCACTTTTTTACATCCATCAAATTGCTCCAACCAAATTTTCAGTGCTTGTGGGTTGTGAAATTCAAAGTGTTCTCTTGTTTTCACTTACATGAGGGCAATGTTTCATTTTTGCCATTGATCTTATGACTGCAGATCCTACTTCAGAAGATGAATCAGCTAAACATGATGGCAGGATAAGGACATTTTCTCATTTTCCTGGCAACTGGGCCATGCATGTGTTTATTCCTTGTAAGTTCCTCTCAACCAATATTTCATTTTACAGTATCATTACAATATTTTGATATTGTCTTCTGCAGTGTAACATATTCTGTGTCTGTAATTTGAAAGGGGCAACGTGATTAGCTATATTCAAATGTGTACTTTTAGTACAACTGGTAACAGGTGGCAAACTCTTTGAACTTTAGTATATAGTTGTATTTGTAAGTTGACTGTTAATTGGATGAAGCCAATGCACAGAGTGGTAGAGAAATACAGAGTGGTGTAAATGCATGCAATTTTCTGGTAAGACTTGTCAACACTGGGGTTTTTGCTTATTTCTTAATCATAGCTTTTTGCAAGACTTCTTAATACACATAATTTTGAATAATAGAACATTAAATGCACTACATCTACTAATAATTAATGGTTTTTTGTCCTCAAAGTCGCAACCAACAGTCAATTTGAGAGCCTTGTGGTATCTGTGGTTGAAAGTTTGTCGGCTATGACATCAGGTAAAGTTCACCTGATTCCATCTAATGAGTTACACGTGAGTGTGTCCAGAACTGTGCCAATCAGACACTATTGGATTGAGCCAATTGTACAACAGCTAAAGAATGACCTCAGTACAGTGCCAAGGTATGGTATAAGCTACAAAGCTCAGTCAAGATAGTAATCCTGTTATGTCTTGATAACCTGTTTACATGTTTTAAACTCTCCATGTAAAAAGATTCTGTTTGTACAAAAGCTTTCTGCCATAGTAAAAGATACATGTTTATATTCATAGCTAATTAGTAAGGTTGTAAAGATAGTGATAATTTTGACATCAATAGAACCATACACAACAAAATGTGTCAGTTTTAAAACAGGTTGTCATTGTCTTCTGCCATTCTGCCGAGTGTATTTCACTTAGTGATTTCTTTGAGCGTGAAATGCTTAAACAAGTAAAGGAAATGGAGCATAGGTACAGCAACCTTTTAGAGTTTGGTATTGTAGATTTACTCTTGCCCAAGATTTAGTGTGCATACTTCTATTTGTGTGGAAAATTGTAAGAGGGTGTACATTGCCTTATGGAGGTACATGTAGTGTAATGAAGCCACTCTGACCAGAATTTCATTTCATGTTATGTTCTAGTTTTAGGTCTAACCTACAGTGCACTGAATTCTACACAAATGATGAAAAAACAAGGTAATTCATGTTCTATTACCACAATAGTTGGATAAGCAGGAAATTAGGAAATTGAATAAAATAATTTAGTGGAGCTCAACACATAATGTAGCGTTTACAGCGACCAAAATCTAAATTCTCAAGTTCAAGGGCGTGTCGCTCCAAAACGCAGTTAACGAGGTGTTTGGGACTATTTTACTAATGGAAATGACGAACCAAGGTTGACTGTTTGCACGAATCTTTATTCTTGAAAGGCAATCAACCATGAACCACAATCAATGACGAAAATAACGATTATTCTCACAGTCAATCAATCTATCAAACAATCGATCGTCAACTGAAACAACAATACAACAAAGTTCTATCAATCTAATGAAAAGCCGCGGAAAACATAATCAAAGAATCGCGTGTCAAATACTGGGCTCTAACATCGATAACGAGATTAACAATACAAATAAAACAGAACAAAAGTTTCGAAACAAATTAAAAGAATTTTGGTGGCTGGTAAACAGCCCATTGTTCTATCTAAATGATGGGTGTTCACTGACTCGCAAATTGGCATGAATTTGGCCTTTAAATCTTAAAATCCATAGAGAATATTGCAATATTTGTTCGTATATCATTGCCCAACATTGAGAAGTCTAGAAAGGAAAAAACAAAGTTACGAAGGTACTCACATATCAGTCCTGCTTTTGGTTGAGAAAATTAAAGGGCGAAAGTTTACCAAGACTATTCAAAACTTATGAAGAACTGATTAAAGGGACGCTAAACTTGCCTTTTATATGC